AGGGCGATTCTTCCCGGATGCGCAAAGTGAATTGAATTCACCATCAGTTGTGAATCATGTGTGGATAATGGAGAGATAAAATGAATCATTAAATAAACATACACACCTTCAATTAATATACATGTGATCTGATGTTATACTTACTGCTGCCGATTTAAAAGGAAATGACACATTTAAAGGGTTCATTGAAATTATAGAATGATACAGTAAGATTCTGAGAAGACATACCAACAACTCTCGTCCCATTTTCTTTCATAACGTGCTGCAGATTTGATTCTAGCTCTAACAATTTAGAGTCAGCTATTGCTTTTACGGCAAGAACTGAACTGGAATGGCATATGGTGTTCTGTCTCTCAGCTCATCAGCAATCATGAACACTAGCTTCTTTAAATACAGATCCTTTAAATATTTCTTCAACTTTAATTTAAACTCTACCAAGTCGACCTTCATCCCATTCCTTTTGTCTGCCAGAATACTTTCAATTTCAAACTTCAAACTCTTCACCTTCTTCAAGAGCCCTTGAAACTCCACAGAATCCCAGCCCACTTCCATCAATTTCTTCTCATTTGAAGTCCCTTGCTCCAGGACATAGTTATAGAGTTTATTCGACTGTTCACTTCCTTCTTTCAGGAACTTGAAATCGTCACACACCACTTTCTTGATTCTCTTCAAGTTACCACACGTTGCTGTTAACCTTCAGGGGACAAAAAGATAGATTTGCCTGTATGCAAATGTATGGGCAAATTTATCGCCAACTTCAAATTCGATCGTATATGACCACATTTGCACCATTGCAAATTTTTAAATTTGCCTCGTGTTTGCTCCTAGTGCGATACAGTGATTGCCGCGATGCCACCGGGTGCAAATTTAGTGCAAATTTATGGTAAATTTATAACATTGCACATATTGCGATTGCAGTGTGATTTTGTTGTGAACATAGAATTTGTGATTTGTATCACGCGTGTTGCCATTTTCTTGGAAAATGCAAAATGAACCTTGTTGAAATTATGCTGGTCGGTTTGTGATTTGTTTGCATGTGCTTTCTATTTTTGTGACGCGCAATTGAATTTTTTAAAGTGTAAGCGAAGGTAAATAAAATATGATTTTTTTATTACCATTGTTGAAAAATATATTGAAATCGTACATATATGAAACAATAATATAAACACGTAAAGAAATAGATTCAATATAAGCCTATAGATGTTCAAAAATATACTGAATAGATCCTAATGTGTACAATAATATAGCTACATGCTGTTTATAAACCGATATAATTTATATACATTTAGTTAAAAAATGTCTATACAACAGAATTCGAAGCTGGCAACCTATTTTTTTCGCATATCATTCTCATAATGTATCCTCTAAAATCTTGTGAAATTTTTGAAATTGATTGCCATTTTCCATACTCTCAAGTCATATATACTTCATAATCAGTCCACAAGTTTTTAAAAAACATGAACATGGAATTTTTCATCATGTAGACCACAGTTAATGGAACATACATGGTTTAGAGACATATATATATATATATATATATATATATATATATATATATATAATATTACAATAGAACTTATTAACTATATATGTCGTCGGGGAACATTTATGCAAAAAATTGTTCCTTATTTGCCACATGTCTATTGTATTTTGAACAAATAAACTAATAGTAAGGTCTGAATTAACATGTTGTTCAAGAGGATCTAAGCCAAGCTATTATTGCTATTGGTTAATTGGGCAAAAATACAATAGACATGCATGTGACGGATAAAGAACAATTTTCAGCATAAACCTGCAGGGCAATAACATAAATAATGAGTTGTATTGTACTTCCATCTAGTATCCAAACCATGTATATTTTAGTTAATAACTGTATGTAGACTAAGGTGCAAGTTTGCTGGGTTGAGAAATCCTCAACAGTACTAGTACAGAAAATAGCTATGCAAAGTTGACAGATTGGATCGCTATATTTGTTTTCCATACTGCTCAGCATGGCTCTACAGCATAGAAATACTGGACCATACGTCGTCAGCATATGTGACTTAATGAGTTGCACATTTTCTTACGTAAAGTGTACAAAATTTACGAAATTAAATTTGGTTTTTCCATACATCCAAAAAATAGGTAGCGCTGAACTCTTATACATATAGTTTAATCATGCAACAGACTAGTTGTTCACAAAAATGGAAACATTTTAACAGTAATTAAGGGTAGTTTTTTAACCTGTTTTTAAATTTAACTTTCTTCCATCATCAATGGATGCCAAAATCATCTAATTTTTAATCATCCAATCAGGTGGCAAACAAACCATTCTTTCGCCCATAATTCTTTCTTTGAACATAGAGCGAGCCTTCTCCGAAATTTGCCTGGTATATTTCCGGTCCAAGCTTTCCAACACACTTTGGAATCTCTCGCTACGCCGTGACAATGGGCGGGTTTTTAATATTTTCTTCTTACCCAAAGCGTCATCGTCGGATTCGGACTCGTCATCTCTTTCAATTACCTCTTCCTCGCTGTGCTCGGGAGACATACATGATATTTTCGTCCTCTTTCTAAATTCTGCCTTTTCAGCCTCAGCCTCATTTAGTGCATCCAGCCGGCGTCGAAGTTTCTTTAAATATACGAGAAAACAGTGCATTAGCTGTGTAGTTCATTAGCTATGTTGATCTGAACTAGATTATTTTATGATAGTTATGTCTCCCATGGATTTCTTGTTATTCTTATAGTTGTATTTAAGTTGAGTAAGAAATGCGTATTATTATTTTTAAGACCCAAAAATAGCAAAGAGAGGGATTGATGTCCCAACAACAATGACTGGTTGTCCCAAAAAATTGCGACAATTTGAGATGAAGTTATATGTGTCGAACGAGAGGTTGGAAATGTTTTGTAAATCAGGTTTGTAATTTCTGTGCATTAAACTAAAGTATATACAAATTTGCAAACTTTGCAAAGCCATATTTTCGGCATTTCATCACATTTCGCAACCAAACTTTGCCTTTCTACTAATTTCAGTACGCTCTTTTTAGCTGTGGTGATTTTAATGGGTTATCTTGCATGTATAAAAAAGATGTCTATAATGCAAAAGGTCCATTTAATCTTTATGTTTGATGATTTAATCTTTGTATTTGGCTTGTGAGAGCAAAACGTGAAATCCGTCTCATGGTTTTTAACAACAGCATATGCCACTGCGAAAGTTGGAAACAAACAGTTCACTCACATTTTTAACAATGGAGTGCGGAAAATTATCTTTTACAAACTTGGCTAAAACAATAGATACTTGGGCTCCATTTAATTTTCCCTTTATTGTACATCTCCTGCCCACCAAATTGATTAGTTTATCAGGTTCTTTAGGCGTGAGATGGCTCATGAATGCCTCTGAGCGGCTATCTTGTGAAGTTTCATTTCTATGTTTAGATTCTTTACGGATGGCATTACACAATGTTTTATGTTGAGGCCAATGAGCCCTCTGACATGTTTGGTTACAATAGCTTACCAATTTACAACACATGCAACGCCAAAAGTTCCAATTTAAACACTTCGAACAATGATTACACTGACGGGATGTTGGCTTCCCGGCTAGTCCCTGTCCCGACGGCCGGGCTGTCGGTGCTCTTTCCCTTACTCTTCGAATTTTTTGCACACTCTGATGCAATATGGCCAGAACCACCACACGCAAAACAGTTTGACAGCTACTGCCAACTCGTCGCTCTTTGCATACATGGCATCCAAAACCGCAATATTGTGTTGCTTAAGCTTCCCGAATACCGTCGTGGGTTTGTTTTTTCGACTGTTCGAGGTCTAATTTTATCTCACGGATTTCTGCCAAAATTTTGCTGTTTTCGCCATTTTTGCGCTCCACCATTTCTGTCGGAAATTGCCTTATTAATGTATTATAGATATCGCGAAATACGTCAATGACATGATATTAATCTTAATCTTAGGTGTGTTAAAAGATGAGTAGTGTAAGTGTGATTGTGAGACGAGCACAAGATCATTGTGAGTTTTTAAAAATATAATTTTGTACTATTATCTGGTGTGTGACTTGTCATTCTGTGGGATCTCTCTGAACGGGTTTGAGCCTGCCGTTCCCCACATTACTGGCACCTCCGACGGGATAGTTATATTTCTATACAACGTTTCGAACATGAAGAAACAGCAAAGTGAATTGGATACGAAGGTCAAGGCGTTGAACTTCAGAATAAAACACAGCGACGGAATACTTGGGAAAGGAGACAGAGCAGCAGTGGATAGACACCGTGAGTCCATTACGACAGTCGTAAGTACAATTGATATGATAAAAGGTTCTATTGAAGAAGCCAAATTCGTGCAAGGCGAATCTAATGAATCAATCGAACAATGGGGTACTGAGATAGACAAACAAATAGGAGTGGCTGACCAGTGCACGCAGAAGCTTGCCGATTTTGTGAAGGCAATTGATAACCGGGAAAGAAAACTTGAATTAAGACATGAACATGAGCAAACAATGCAATACGAAAAGCAGTTATTGATTGATTGATTGACACCTTTATTTCAACAGGGTAGTCCAATCAGTAGTAGAAAATACTGCTATCAACTGGAGCCCTGCTATTTACAATACAATCTTTACATGCTATATGGGAATACAATCCTTACGATACAATATGCAATATAACAATTAGGTATTGGGACAATATACAATATATATACTAGAGAGTAAAACTATTTACACTTATTATTATATACAACACAACCATTGTAATAAAAGGATTTTTTTGCCTGTTCAGTCTGTACACGAGGCAAGTGCAGTTTATGACTCAGCCTAGTCACTCTACTGTGTACCGAGCTGTTAAAGGTAGAATATTTTTCAAAAAATTGCGGACAACAGCCCTGGATACATTTATTAACTAATTTAAAAATTGTTATTAGAGCAGAAGCTAGAAGGCGCACTTCAACAGAAGAAAATTGCTGAGAAAACAGGAGGTTACTGAAGCTTAGTATAACTAGATTTAATGGTAAACCGCATGACTGGGTGCATTTCAAGGGTCAGTTTGAGGCTATGGTTGACTCCCAAATGGTCTCAGGCCCAAGCCCTTTTGAATCCTCCGCCTGGCCTGTTGCCCACTTCGTGTACTGAAGGTTCGAAAGCCTTTGAATCTGTTGGTGTGGACTTTGCTGGCCCTATTCGCTATCGTCGCAAGGAGAGAGCAGAGTCAAAAGCGTATCTAGTCCTTTATGCCAGTTGCCTGACTCGTGTTTTGTTTTTGGAAGTGTTGCCAAGCCTTGAAGCGACAGAATTTATTGCAAGCTTGAAAAGATTTATAGCACAACACGGTCGTCCGAAACGAATCTATTCCGATAACGGAAAAACTTTTGTTGCCGCCGCTCAATGGCTTAAACGAATTCAGCTGGACGAGAAGTTGAATAAATTCCTCTCCAACCATTCTATTGCCTGGTCCTTCAATCTCAGCAGAGCTCTGTGGTGTGGCAGCCAGTTTGAACGGTTAATTGGTGTGTTTAAATCTTCCTTCTATAAGTCTATGGGAAATGGTTTACTTACCTGGCCAGAATTGTGTGAGGTCGTGCTGGATGTCGAAGTGGCTCTAAACAATCGTCCCCTCAGTTACCTGGAAGAAGACTTCCAATTACCAGTGTTGACGCCAGCTTCCTTCTTGTTCCAAGGCCCCATTTTGTTACCCGAGCAAGACCCTGCGGCTCTGGAAGACAAGTGTTTACGAAAGCGCGAGAAATATTTAAGGAAGTGCAAAGATCATTTGTGGTCTCGTTGGACTGCTGAATACCCTCGTGCACTAAGAGAATGACATGGCATGAACACCCGCAAAACAGAGTCAAGGTTGCATGTTGGAGACGTTGTCGTCACCAACTCCCAAGAGAGAAATCGTGGAAAGTGGCCTATAGGGATTGTGGTTAAACTAGTGAAGGGAAAAGATGGTGTTGTGAGAGCTGTGAAGTTGAGGGCAGGTAAAGATCACCTTCAACGTCCAATTCAGCATCTCTATCCGTTAGAGCTATCGTGCAATCGTTCTGAGAAGAAAGTCTTGCGTGCAGAAGCCCTGGTGTTCCGACCGAAATGTGCCGCAGCTGTATGAGCGAGAGAACAATTCAAGCGACAACTTGCTTTGGAAGACAGCTAAGTGACTGAACTGTTACTTTTTATTATTATATTGTTGTGTTGCCTGACAAGACATTTTCCTCTTTCATGTGTCTTCCTTCGGAATACACATGGGGGAGTGTGTCGGAAATTGCCTTATTAATGTATTATAATCTTAGGTGTGTTAAAAGATGAGTAGTGTGAGTATGATTGTGAGACAAGCACAAGATCATTGTGAGTTTTTAAAAATATAATTTTGTACTATTATCTGGTGTGTGACTTGCGATTCTGTGGGATCTCTCTAAACGGGTTCGGGCCTGCCGTTCCCCACATTTCCGCATTATATACACCACATGCATTTACTTTGGCAGAACGTCTTTCACAGGCAAGCTTGGTCTGACTTTCTGCTTGGTGTGATGCCAACTCGTTGACATGGCGCATTAAATCCTCATCAGATAAGTGAGACATAGTGGTCTTAAATTTGCGGCCAAAATATTGTCTCGCAAACCGGTTTCAAAAGACTTCTTAAATGTTTTTTGAATTAGTGGTTCGTCCTACTGTAGTTCACAATCGGATTCTTTACTGGCGAAGCCAACTTTATTTTGCAAATAGAGGGAGTGCAACAAAAATTGCTGAGGGGTCTCTTTTGGTTCTTGAAAAATTGTTGCAAGATTTTGATAAAGTTCTGAGGCCGATTTTTCGCGATAGTGAACGCGCAGAATTTTTCTGAGCTTTTGCAAAGATAAATCTTGTAGGGTTTCTACATAACTTTGTAGGCTACTATGTAGTGAAATGGCACGAATTACTGCATCTACTATATCTGTTTCTTTATAGTTACGCTTTATCCCCGAGTCAATTTGATGAGTCAGCGAAACAAATGTTAATTTATCTGCCTGTCCCGGTTCGCCAATTTGCCCAGAAATTTAAAACTCGCGCCGTAACAAACTGTTGGATGGCATTGAAGCATTTTCTGTCTTCATGCATTCTTTTCCTATTGTGGGTGTTTCAACCTTGCTAGGGGGTTTTGTAATTTCCGCACTGTTACTTTTAACTAGTGTTAATTTCGTCATCAGATCACTCAGATGCGGGTTTCAAAACCGCAATATGTTCTTTGAGCCAATAATCCTCATGGTAAGAGGAATCTTTTGATAGCCAATACATAGCTGTATATAGCATACTTCATTTTAACAATTGAAAATATGAGTGGTATGTAATTATCTTAAAACTAGAAATACATGCATGCAGCAACCCCTCGCTATTTCAAACCAAGTACACAATTTCCTGAGTTAACCTGACCTAAAGTTATATTATGAAACGACACAAAACTCAAATCAGTCTTATTATATTTACCGAGTATATTGTAGCTAATGTTTCCATCATTTAATACAAAAATAATCATAAAGCTAGTGTAAACATTGCCCGTTCAATTTTGCTGCATTATACCATGCCAGCAATTAAGTAACGGTTTATAATCGAAGTTTCAAACGATTGAAAGAGTACAAAATCTTCACAGACAAAGAAAAAACTTCAAATGTTATTTTATTCTGTATTTTGCCGTTGACGCTGGCAGCTAAAAGTTTTATATAAATATAGTGTGTATTTTTGATACCAAAATTCAAATTACACTTTCAAAAACACTTTTTGAAGTTAAAGCAAAGGTGTAATAGCCTTTCACAGGTTTATGCGTTTGCATAAAAAGCTGAAAATTTAACAAATCAACGGCATACAAAGCTGAAAAGTATACAAATACAGCTCATCCTTCCCGCAAAACAAATACGAAATAAACAAAGAAACATGTACCCTTTGTCTTTGCAAACACTTATAAGCTTGCAGATTATGAATTATTCCTCTTACACGGCTTTGTCTTGACTGTCTCCACGCTCATCTTTGCTATCTGTCATGCTTCATATATGTTGTTTCTTCTCGTTTTACTTTCGTTGCACAAAGTTTATGAGATGCTTTTACAATGTTTACAAAATAATAGTTAAATTGCTGATGTTCTCATTGAAATACAAACTTTCTGTCTTACCCAATCAGAACGTTCGTTGATTACGAGACGTTACTCGCGCATGTGCATAACTTACAAAACCACCCAACGTTGACCGTCCATGACAAATAATTTGGACAACTTTGGATTTGCCTATGTTCTACCGGGTTCCGGGTGTAATTCCTAATCTCTGAGCGGAATTAGTACCCTCGCAGGCGCTCTGCGTCCGCTTGGGGATGACTAAGAATTGAGACATTTCCACTAATATCTCCAGTTCTATAGATGCCCCTACAATACAAGTCATATAATTAGATTCCTCATGATGAGAAGAAACTTTTGATAGCCAATACATAGCTGTATATAGCATAGTTCTCTTTTCAAAATTTAAAATATGAGAGGTATTTAATTATCTCAAAATGACCTATAGTTGAGGCATTTCCCCTAGTATCTCCAGTGCTATACATTCCCCTAGAATGAAAGTGCTATCATTAGATTCCTCATGTGGGAGGAATTTTTTGATATGCTACACATTGCTATACAGGGCATATTTCTCTTTTCAAAATATGAAATTTGAGTGGTATTGAATAATGGCCTAGAGTATAGACAATTTCACTAATAACTCAAGTTGTATACATCTCCCTGCAATACGGAATGGTAAGAGGAATCTTTTGACAGCCAATACATAGCTATATATGGCATATTTCTATTTTAACAATTGAAAATATGAGTGGTATGTAATCATCTTAAAATGACCAAGAATTGAGACATTTCCAATAATATCTCCAGTTCTATAGATGCCCCTGCAATAAAAGTCATATCATTAGATTCCTCATGATGAGAGGAAACTTTTAATAGCCAATACATAGCTGTATATAGCATAGTTCTCTTTTGAAGATTTGCAATATCAGGGTTATTTGATTATCTTAAAATTACAAAGAATTCATACAATTCCCTTATTATCTTTAGATTCCTTATGTTGAGAAGAAGCTTTTGATATGCTATACATGGCTATAAATAGCATATTCTTGGTGATATCAAGAAAATCAAATAATCACTGAAGTATAAGAAAAAATCCACTAAAGGACCAGAAATATCCACTAAAGGACCATGTGTCATTACGATTTTACCCCATTTCAAACCAAAGTGAGGTGGGTTAATTAGGGCGTGGTCCTAAAAGCGTCGCTACGCCCACTTCTGCTTTCAAGTCTTTAACCCTGATATATATCTTTAAATACATAATCCACTAAAGGACCAAAAAAATCCACTAAAGGACCACAAATCCACTAAAGGACCAGAAAATGCACTAAAGGACCACCTGTATTATAAAGACTTAAGATTTTATCCATTTCCGACCAAAGTTGGGTGGGGTAATTAGGGTGTGGTCCTAAACACGTGACCACGCCCACTTCCAGTTTGAGTTTTTCACACTGAGATTTGTAAAAAAACGCATATTTTCATAGCTAAAAACGTTTTCAGAAAAATTTCTTAGAATATAAAATGTTGCAAACCACAACAGAAAATACATATAAAAATTTCACAAAAATATATTTAATTGCGAATATTTTACACAACTTCAATCTCATGTGTGATGTAATGGTAGATACCTTGATAAAAAAGGTCTGGAAAATATTTCGATTTCAACGAAATACCGCCAAACTCGGGCAGGGTAATTAGGGCATTTCTTTAAACATGTGACCACGCCCACTTCCGGTTTCGAGCTTTACAAACTGGGATATGTGAAAAACGCCTATTTTCAGGGCCAAAAACGTTTTCATAAAAATTTCTTAGAATATAAAATGTGTTTAAAATCACATTAGAAAAAACAAAAAATTTCACGGAAATATATTTAATCCTGAATACTTTGAAAAAATCCACTTAAGGACCAAAATAATCCACTACAGGACCACAAATCCACTAAAGGACCAGAAAAATCCCTAAAGGACCAGCTGTATTATAGAGACTATTAGGGCGTGGTCCTAAACACGTGACTACGCCCACTTCCGGTTTCGAGTTTTTCACACTGAGATATGTAAAAAAACGCATATTTTCATACTTAAAAACGTTTTCTTAGAATATAAAATGATGCAAATTACATCAGAAAATACATATAAAACTTTCACAGAAATACATTAAATTGCAAATATTTTACTTAACTTCAATCACATGTGTGATGTAATGGTAGATACATTGATGAAAAGGTCTGGAAAGTATTTCGATTTCAACCAAACACCGCCAAAGTGAGGTGGGGTAATTATGGCGTAGTCCTGAACATGTGACCACGCCGACTTCCGGTTTCAAGTCTTTTATACTGATATATGTCTTTAGATACATAATCCACTAAAGGATCACAAAAATCCACTAAAGGACCAGAAATATCCACTAAAGGACCATGTGTCATTAAGATTTTATCCCATTGCAACTAAAGTGAGCTGGGGTAAATTAGGGCATGGTCCTAAACATGTGACCACGCCCACTTCCTGTTTCAAAGTCATTTAGACTGATATATGTCATTGAATACATAATCCACTGAAGGACCAGAAAAATCCATTAAAGGACCACCAAAATCCACTAAAGGACCACCTGTATTAGAAAGACTAACCCTAACCAGGGGTCCATGGATGGAATTAAACAATACTGAAAACGTTTATAGGCCCATTGGGGTACAAGCTAATGTTTTTATTTTGCCTGAGCTTTGCCCTCTACTTCTTTGGATTATGATTTAT